CAGGTTGGGCAGAGAAGCTGTGGCTGGCCCTGGATCCCTGGAAGTGTCCAAGGCCAGGTTGGAACAACCTGGGCTGGTGGAAGGTGTCCCTGCCCATGGCAGGGGTGGGGAATGGGATGAGCTTTAAGATCTCTCCAACCCAAGGAATTCCAGGAGAACGTGGCTTGTGTGGGGTTACAGCAGTTTACGAGACCCATCGACACATTCAGGAAAAATAAAATTCCCAGCTCATTTTCTCCCAGCTCAACTGCGGAGGAGAGCTGGTTATCCCAAAAAGCTGAACACCCCGCGGGTGCCACTCACCCCCCACCCTGGGCCCCGAGCAGCCCTGCTGGGGTGGTTTGTTTTACCATCCTGGCTCCACGGGAGGATCCCACCCCCAGGCCCCAGAGCCGGGAGGCTCCTCCAACGCCGCGGGAGCCACCGGAGCGTTCCAGGTGGAAAACCTGGGACGTTTCATCCCCGCCTGTCCCTCCCTCCCCCCCCTCCACGCCCGCGCTGTTTTCCGTCTGAAATTGGATTCTAAACACTTCAGAGAAGGGACAACGGCTCCCTTTGAACTCTTGGGAGCCGAAGGAGACGGGGAAGAAAAAAAAAAAGAGAGAGAGAGAGAGAAATCTCATTTAGAATTCACAAAACAAACAACAAGCAACAACAAATATCACCTGAGCGAGGCACCAGCTGTCAACCTGCTCCACACCAGGAAATAAATTAATGAAAAGGCAACCTGATGGTAATTTAATGATTCTCCAGCTGTCCTGGCATTATACAACCAGGCTGCCTCAGGATGCCCTCAGCTCCCGGGCTCTTATGAAATGTCTGCAAAGAAGCCTTGAGGAGCCATAGCCTGAGTTGCTCCTTGTCTTCTCTGAGCTGGAGCTCCAGGTTTCAAAGGAATTCAGGCTTGCTGAGGTGCCCAGAGCTCTCCCAACCCGGTTCTGCCGTTCCCAAGGGTGCTCAAATCCAGCCAAAAAAACCTTCTTGCCACCCCTGCACTGCAAAGATAAAGGGTTTTTTTGCCTCTGGATTATAATTTTTATTCCAGGTGGGAGTCAGGGAGGCACAGGATGAGCAGCTCCTGATCCATGCTGGGCACATCCATCCATCCATCCATCAGTGGTGTCAACACCCTGGCAAGGGACAAACCTGGACTGGGTGCAAATCCCAGCCTTTCTCCTGGGACCAGGTTAAGAATCTACTTGAACCTGCAACTAACTGGACATTTAAAGGAGGATTTTAGAAATATCTGGGAACCAGCATTTCCCTGTCCTGTGTCTCCTCCTTGCTCTCCAAAGCTGTTTCCCTCAGGAGAGGGAAGGATCACAAGCCAGAAATCAGGGACAGCACAAGGAGGATTATTACAACTTTCATCAAGCCCAGTGATAAAATTTAAGTGACACATGAAGTGATTAAGCCAAGCAATAAATTCAGAGGACCTACTAGCAGGGAGCTCTGACCTCCCTTGGAGCTCCTCTCCCAGGCCTGGGAGCTGGGAATTCTCAGGATGCTGGTGTTGACCATCTCCTTCTCCCAAGACACAAGGGGATTGTCCCACTCCTGCCCCACCTCTGATTGGACCAAACCAAAGATAATTATGAAATTCAGCTGTGCCTCACCTCCCAAAACCTACACAAAAAAACCCCTGATCATCTCCCCCCTCATCAACTCACCCCTGGCAGCAGCACCGAGAGCTTGGAGGGAAACTGCTCAATAAACAAGAGGTAATTAACTAATTAATTGATTTGTGGTGCAAATTTAAAGCTGAAGGTGAGGGGGGTTTTTCCCCCATTCCTTTAATAAATTAACTTTGGAACCATCCAAGAGCACACCAGGTTGAGCCACCTGGGTGACAATGGCTGGGGGCTCCCACCGGACACCACGTTGGGTTTTATCATCCCAGAGGATTTGAGGAGCAATTATTCCCTGCTGCTGAACAAGCAGAAGTTGCCACTTCCCCAATATTTTGTGGTGACCTCCAGGACCTACTGGAAACTTGGAGAACAGCTCAGACACCAATCAGACCTTTAAAGACCAGATCTGGGAGATTTCTGCTAAGACTGCACCAAAGGCAGACAGTTCAGCTGGAATTCTGCCCGTTCACCTCCCCCTCACCAGGGATTCCTTCAGGGAAGAAAGGACAAGAAGTCATCCCACCTCCTTAAAAACTTCTCCCTTTCATGGAATCATGGAATGGTTTGGGTTGGAAGGGGCTTTAAAGACCATCCAGTTCCAC